AGGGCCCATTGGCACCTATCCATTTCAGTGCAATGGTACCCAAAAGCACTCTGGCAACGCACATCTGATGCACATGACTTGCAGTGCAGCTTTGGTGTGCTGCATGGAAAAAAATGGTGCAAGTATGTTTTTTTTGTGTGTGTTCTGGTGCATCAGCATTAACACAACGTGCAATAATGCAACCCACCAGAATGTAATGGTGTAAATAAGCCCCAAACAGAGGGATTTACAAAATTCATATTTTGCATATGCCCAGCTGATACTGTTTCCCACGAAACCAAGGTATGAAATCCTACATTTTACACACAATTCTTGTGTAATTTTTTTGTGTTTTTATGTACTCAAAGATTTACATCAGGGGTGGGTTCCCCAGCTGTAGTGGAACTACAAATCCTGACATGTATTAGCCTCTGAGAGGCGTGGCTGTCAGAATGCCTAATGGGATTTTTAGTTGCACACAGCTGGAGGGCTGGAGTTTGCTTTCACCTGATTTACATAGTCAGTCCACTTAATCTAGATACAAATAAGTACTCTCTAGCATAGATTAGGAATGAGCTCGGGCTTGATCTGAACCCTGAATTTAGGCATCAGTGTAGTTACTCAGTCATTTGTGACTAGGGCATTTCCTGCCCCGCAGCTGCACGTAAACAAAGGGGCGGGTTGTTGGTGACATCATTGACCTTTTACAGCCACATAGTCATATTTGGTCGATGACTTTGATTCAACAAGCTAGTATTCTTCTCACGTCTGTTATTATTTATTGTTATCAATCTAGGTCAAAGATAAATGAGTGCTACAATTACAGAAAAACAAATACATCAACTGATAACGTGTATATATAGTGGATGGTCCAATAAATCAATACATTCAGCAACATATATGACTTGCACGTTATTTGTGTCTGCTTTTGCTGCTACATTCATTGGAAAGTAGACAATGTTTCAGGTCTGTAGCAAGCAGTGAAGCCTAACTGTGACTGCATACTATTTGTGGATATGTTTAATCCAGGCACATTCACCCTGCAGATTAATGTTATTTATACCTGGTGTATGTATAGTCCAGACTTTGTTTGTTTTGGATAGAGTAGTAAGAGTTTAGAACCCCTGTTAGATTTGTATTGCTGCCTGTATCATTGCAACAGTATATAGATGTGCCCTCTCTCTTAAGGTGCCCATACACTGGCCGAATTTCATTTGCTTTTTAATGTAGCGGCCGAAATTCGGCCAGTGTGTGGAGCTGTCGGCTGCCTTTTAGCTGGCATTCCTCGACCCGCTGATCGAAGGAGCCTGGCTGGAAAATCTTCATACGATCAGTGCTGGCAGTCAATGTGCTGCCTGCTCTAATTGAGTACTCTGACAGGTGCCTCAGAATACAATGCGAACAGTAGCGATTCCTCGATTGACACACTGTTGATGGAGCCCGCGGGTTGAACAGAAATTGAGAGGTGTATGGCCAGCCTTACCCTTCAGTCACACTTGCTACTTGTGTTTTTATGAGATCTGTCGCAAACTCTATCAGGCTAGATGCTTTGTTTATGCTTCTAGATGCTTAAAATGATGCACGTTTATACACATATGCGTTTAGATACATCTGTCCTTTATCCGCTGAAACAGTCAATTGAAGTAGCCAATGAGATTTCAGCAAAAACGAAACGTCTTGCGTTTACATGGGTTTTGGTGTGTTTAGAAATTCAAATCGATTTCCGGACGCACCTGACTTCTATTTTTCCTAAACACAGCTAAACTAGCAGATAAAAGCATCTAAAATCAAAGTGTGAAAAGATCCATTGGAAGTCATTAGATGCATATAGATGCGTTTAGAATTAACCCCTTTGTGACTGACGACGTACAGTGTACGTCGCCGGCTTTTGCCACCGGGACTCTGTTTAAACTTGTAAAGCCGACTGTAAAGACTTACCTGTCGCCAGATCGCTTCTGTGTCCCGAAGAAGGGGCCGCCGTGCTTCCCGGGCTCCGTTGCCCCTCCTACGGGCCCGGGACCGACGTCCTTGGTGTCCGCGGGGAGCTGGGGAGGAGTTCGACGAAACGAACTTCGGTTCATCGATCCCCTCCCCGTTCTATGGGACCGGGAGCGATGCAGATTGCATCACTTCCGGTCCCTGGGCTGTCAGTTCTGGGCTCCTGCAGCCCAGCTATAAGCTATTGAAGTGCGATCTGCACTTCAATAGCTTATTTCTAGTGTAAAGGTGACACTGGGGGTCTTTTGGGGCTCTTCGTCGCTCTATAGCGGCAGCAGCTGATGAGGAGGAGAGAGAACTGACACGGCGATCGCTGCTGCTGAAGGAGTAGAATCAGTGCCGCACTGTAGCTGTCCTTACTCCGGTGTTCTATCGAAAGCTCACTGCACAGAGCTCCAGTCTTTCTGAGCACCAGAGGTAGTTAGAGATCTCAACGAGTTGGAGCTTTCGATAGAACCCCGGCTCCTGCAGCTTCCTCCGCCCACCTCAGCTGCCATAGGCTGGGAGGAAGACTGCAGAGCTGCAACTGGCTGGAAGGACGGCACGGGAGAAGCAGGACACCTGGGACATGGAGGATACATTGCTTTTTTCTGCATTACACTGCTGGCCTCTGTACTCAGCATCACACCACACCACTGGCCTCTGTACTGTGCGTCAACCCGGCTGGTCTCTGTACTCGGCATTACACCACTGGCCTCTGCACTCTGCATTGTTACTGATCTCTGTTCTCTGTGTCACACCACTGACCTGGCGGAGTTAAGGCCGGGGCACGGTAGGGGTTAGGTGGGGCGACTGGTGGCGAGTAACTCTTAAGGCCTGGCTAGTAGCTCAGGACTTTAAATTTTGAGCCCTGCACTACTCTATCCAAAACAAAACGCGTTGTGGCTTGAGAGCTTGAACCCTTTGTTAGGACAGACAGTGTGCTCATCTAGTTTACAACTGAGGTGCTCGTTCGTACTAGTTTGCATGCTTTTAGAGTTCAGAGTGCAGGCTACTGTGGTGAATGCGGTCCAGTGTGTGTGTGTGATGTAATGTGATGTGCTGTTTCAGAGCACCACACTGGTTGTTACTTTTTTTTACTTCATAGTGTACACAGGTCTCTGCACAGAAGTGCCTGGTGGTGCACTGTTCTGACCTGCGGTGCCATCCAGTGCTCTGCGATAAAATCCAAAATGACTACATTGAAGTGTGAAGGGGGCACATAGAAAACAATGGTGCCCTAGTGGTGACTGGTGTTGATCAGTTGATAAAAAATGCCAGTCACTGCTATTGGTGTGAACAAGCCTTGCTAATAAAGATCTCCCAGCACAGTACAAATAATTATGGTAAACATTACTCTCCAGCCCCCTTCTTAACATTACATGGAAGTGGAAACTAAGTAAAATTTTATAGGATTATTATTCATCAAATCAAAAGCTGCACATTTTTAATAATTTAATACATTTTTTTAATTAAAGGTAATGCTATGCGAATGGGAACATGTAACAAATATAAAGTAGTTGTTATCCCATTTTGGCTTCAAGTTAGAAATACGCTTGATGATATAGAATTGATTTATTTTATCATCCACATTGTGTGCAATTACCGTGTGCAGGAGGGATAGAGCCATTTAATAAAGATATCTATTTACTGTATACCGTATATACTCGAGTATAAGCCGAGATTTTCAGCCCATTTTTTTGGCTGAAAAGTGCCCCCCTCGGCTTATACTCGAGTCAGCGTCAGGTGTCTTCTTACTTACCTCGCCGAGCGTCGCGTCACTGCTGCTCCGGTGGGCGGCGCTCCGAGCGGGGTCATCTGGCAGTCTCCGGGTCCTAATTTAGGTGGCCGGAGACTGCCAGATGACCCCGCTCGGAGCGCCGCACACCGGAGCAGCAGCGACGCTCAGCGAGGTAAGTAAGAAGAAAAAAAAAACCCCCGCAGCGGCCAGTCAGGCAGGGGAGCAGGGATGAGTCAGCGGCGCGCTGATCAGGCGAGAGGAGCTCCAGGTGGGGTTGTAATTTAGCGGGCAGGCACCTCTAAGCCAGCTAAATTAGGACCCCACCTGGAGCTCCTCCCACTGGACCAGCGCGCCGCTGACTCGTCCCTGCTCTCTCCGTGATGTGATGATCGATCACCGGCACACGGACACAGTGAGTGAGGGCAGATTGGGGGGGGGGAGAGATTTATTAAGCAATTATATATGTATTGTCTGCACTGTATTAGCAGTATATACTACATATAGAGTATATACTGCTAATACAGTGCAGACAATACATTTACAATTATACTAACATGAATGTATTAAATGATCTGTATGTAGCCCTGTACTATGGATCATTTAACCCATTCATGTTAGCAGAGGATCATTGTAAATGTATTGTTGCAGGCACTCTATATGTACATGTACTATATACTACATATAGAGTGCACTGAACAATAGATTTACAATTATCCTCTGCTAATATGAATGGGTTAAATGATCCGTAGTACATGATATGTAGCCCTGTACCCCCTTTTCCACTTACAGAGCTAGGTTATTTTTCTTTTAAATAAATATTCATGTAATTTTATTGGTATCTATCTTCATTTTGTACATTTACCAGTAGCTGCCTCATTTCCCACCCTCGGCTTATATTCGAGTCAATACTTTTTCCCAGTTTTTTGTGGTAAAATTAGGTACCTCGGCTTATATTCGGGACGGCTTATACTCGAGTATATACGGTAAGTCATGATAACCCATGTGATAAGTCATAATATAGTTCTGAACTATAGTGATATGATTATCGTGTCTACAGATACAAGAAATGTGCCTACAAACAGAACATAGATTATAATATCTCTTATCCCATGTGAATTAAACTGACAAAAGCTTGCCTGTCCTCTTATCTGTTATGACAAACATTGCAACACCCAGAAATATGCTGAAAGTTTACCGCACACAGAGCGGGCGTACCCACATGAAGCCGCTGTAGAATATACATATGCCGAGTAGCTGAATCTGGAGCAGCTGTACATGGTAACCAATCAGATTCTATCTTTTATTTTCAAAGCTTAACTCAACAGACTGAAGAGAGAAGCTGATTGGTTACTATGAGCACCTGTTCTAGATTCTGTCTTCTCTTGAGATGAAACTGTCACACGTCGGCTCAATAGATCGGGAAGTGAGCGAACACATACTGTCGCTCGCTCACTTCTCGATCATCTCCCTGCAGAGAACCGTGACTGTCACTCATGGCTCCCTGCAGGGATTCCCCCCTTCCCCACTCCGATCCTCCAGCCCTGACTGGTGGAACGGACGGGGGAGGGGGCAGGTGCAGCTGGCTCTGTCTCTAGATAGGCAGAGCCAGCTGTCACTCATGCAGCTGGGTGGATCTCGACAGTAATGTCGGGATCCGTCCCGGCTGCCTCAGTATACCGCGAGCTGTAGCTCATGATATACTGAGCTTTGGGTCACGGGAAGACGCTAGTATATGTCCTCCTGTGACCCTTAGGAGAACTATGGGAAAAAACACTGACCCCATAGTTCTCCTTTAAGGGCCCATTCACACCATCTGCTTTGGAGCTGCGCTGTGCCCATAGAATTGAATGAACTTGTGACATTTTAATAAAGTTCTAACAAAAAAAAGTATGCAGTGCGATGCACAAGAATTAGGGCTTTGGCACTGTAATGGCCACCGCACACCAGACATTATGCGATTAGTGTGAATTGCTGCATACACATGAGTGTAGATTACAGGAAGGTGTGTGTGCGGGTGTGGAGAGGGGTTGAGGTTACCTCAGACATAATGAGAAGGGGTAGTAGAATGTAGTCATTTGTATGCACAGAAATTAGCATTGGCTTTTGAAAGCAGCAGGCAAAATGCAAAAGGTAATTGCCACTGTGTTACCCAGTTACAGATTTACTAAAGCAGAGGAGAAATGCCCTCCGACAAGTCACCTTTGGTCTGTAATAAATAACACACACAACAATCATTCCTCTACAAAGACACAATCAGTGACCACTCCTTCCAACCTGAAACAAAAACACTTTCGACAAACAATATAAAACGGCTTCTGGAGCTGAAATAAAAGGTTGGGTAACATAAAGAAAAGTTCAAGGATACTTGGCATACTATGAGGGTGTATGTGAACAGTGAGAAGAGAAAAACATCCATCTATACATGAAAAATCATATGTGCATATCACCAGCAACTGCTTAAAGAGTATCTAAACCCCTTAAAAATCATTGAATACACTGAATTGTGTTAATACACTGGTGGCTGCATTAGTTCTCATTTTCAGGCTTTATTATCTTTATTTTCATTAGGGATAAGCTCAGGTTCAGGCCTAACCCAGACCAGACCTGAGCACCTCCGAACAAGGAAATGCCTTGTGACATCCCTCACTGTAGCGGAGGAGGAGACAGGCAGGAGGGAGCGATGTCACAGCCGGCTGGCTCAGAGGATCAGCTAAGTATAGCTTTATTATTTTAGATAAACACGAGCATGTAACCCTTTTTCACCAAAGTTCTGCTTTAAGTAACAACCCCCCAATAAAAGTAAAATAAAATGCTGACTGGCAGGCTTTCTATGGCAGAAGAGACAGAGACAGAAGAGACTTTGTAAGTCTCTTCTATCACAAAAGCTTCTTGCTGCCTTTCTGCATGCTCAGCACAGCTCAGCACATAAATCTGGCATGCCGAGATACACCAACGCATGTGCAAGCATGGGAGTTCAATCATCGGGACCCTGGCCAATCCATCAGCCAAAGTATCAGAACCCAGAAGAAGACCGAGGTGAAGATTGAGCGCAGGAGAGGGTGGAGTGTCTTTGATCACTTTGGCAGGTAAGTCTGCCATAATGTACTAAAATGCTGTGCACACTAGAACATTATGGCTATCACTTCCCCCCTCCCTTTTAGATTGTAAGCCCTCAGGGACAGGGCCCTCCTTACCATCTTGTCTTGATTTGTATTGTGATTGTAATGTCTTCCCTATATTGTAAAGCGCTGCACAAACTGTTGGCGCTATATAAATCCTGTATAATAATAATAATAATAAAAGATTCAGGGGGCATGCTTTTTTTTTTTACACCCCTCACTTACTTCCACTTTAATTTATTGCAGCTTACCAGTCCTTAGATATGGTGGCAGCATTTCTTTTTAATTTTTAAGTCTAGGAACACTTGTCACTTCCGGTGACCTGTCCTGGAAGCATAAAACAATGTTTCTTTTCTTATGTGTAGTGCTAATTCCCCCCTTTCCCATGTACTGGAGATGAACAAAGACAGACATGGTCGTAGTCCAGCCTGAGCAGCAACCTAAGTGAGCGTAGACACCCCAGGACAGGAAGTGTGTTACTTGCAGGACTACCAGGTAAAATAAAGGTTTAAACCTGTTAGAAATGAAAACTAATGCAGCCACATTATCGAAGAACTGGTAAGCTGCCATATATAAAATTTTTATTTTTGAGTTTAGTAACGCTTCAAGAACTCTCAACGAAAACCACAGCCATGGGTCATCTATCCAGTAATCATTGTGGACTTGTCCTTTTGTTAAAACACAGAGGCTGAGGTGGAAAAGACAGCTCACAGAATTGCATGCTGTTATGTTACACCTCCTCTATTATTCATTTCTTTGTCTTTCGTTTAGCTATCTCATTACTCCAATAGGTCAGAGAACACATATGACAAGCTGCTATAGCAAAGAAAACTGGCAGCCGCCCTGTTCAGCCAATCAATTTGGTGTATGAAACAAATTACAAAATTTACAAGTGAACCCGACTGTGTTTGGGATTGGAAATCTATATTGTCTGAGCTTCCAGACAACACTGTTATTTAATAGGGATGAGGTTCAGGTTCACCTCTACCACAGGTTTGAGGTGAATCCTATGTGTTGGAGATTCACGGTCCCGTTAACATTTTTTATTTTTCTAATACATTCCTTATTTAAACAGAAACCATTTTTATAAAAGTATAAAATGCAAAAACAACTCAACATTGTACAGACAAAATCGAGATCATTCAACAGTAATGAAACATTAAGAAAAGTGGCATATGGGGGCGAAACACTGTGTATCACAAAGAATCACCAGAATAAAAACAAATTACTTTGGAGAAGGAGGAAACCCATACGGCCTGTGGAAGACAACAAAGGGATAAAAGAAAGGAAAGAA